AAAAAAAAAAAAACAGGGCAGCCATGCCGCCCTAAGATTGGACAGAATGCCGCCCCTTAGAATCTGCCGCCCCACGCACGAGCTTGCTCGACTGGTGCCTGGAGCCGGCCCCATCCCTGATTCAACTTATCTCTGCATCAGAAGGTATGTCTACACTGCAATTAGACACCTGCAGCTGGCCCATGTCAGCTGACTTGGGCTCACGGGGATTGGGCTAAGGGGCTTTTAAATTGAGGTGTGGATGTTCACGCTCAGTCTGCAGCCCTCCCAGCTTGCAGGGTCCTAGAGCCCAGGCTCCAGCTCCAGCCTGAGGCCAAGTGTCTACGCCACAGTTAAACAGCCCGTTAGCCCAAGCCCCACAAATCCAAGTCAGCTGGCACAGGCCAGATGCGGGTTTTTAATTGCAGTGCAGACATACCCTGAGAGACACTCGATGAGCCTCATAGAGCCCTTTTCTAATCCTGGACTGGAGTTAATATGAACTGTCTGGTCTGGCTGCCAGGGTGAATTACCTCAATAGGCCTGTATCTCCGTGCAGGGTCCTAGCACCTGACCGCTTATCACAGGCCTGTTATCCACTTTGCAGTTAGCTGAAATCTAGTGAGGACAGCTCATGAGACTTTCGTTTGAACCTGAGTTAGAGCCCTGATTGGGCCTCAAACCTACACTTAATCCAGATCAGGGTCCAAACACCACCTCTTTGGCCCATACATTCCAAGGCAATGTGGGAACAATTCTACTGAAATACCATATAGCCATTGCCCAATCCCTACACCAAAATCTTCCAGTAAAAAATGTTAGTGTGTTGCCACTGTACCACAGTGCTAGAGTGGTAAAAACTACACAGCCTCTGTGTTCCCATGTGTTCATGTGCTGAAAAAGATTGTAATTCTACACATGCGTGTGGGCATTCCATGTGTTCAACGAGAGCAGATTTCGCGACTTTCTTCTCCTTGTTTCACCAGCTTTTGCTTCCATTGCTAGTTTGCTTTTTCTATTCATGGAAAGTGCATCTCTTTGGAGATGGAACCTGCCTGTTTTAAAAATCCAGAAGGGAGGATTTTGCTCTCCCATGAGTAGGAGCTGGTTAGTGTGGAGAGGCAAGGTGGGTGAGGTAATATCTTTTGTTGGACCAACTTCTGTCGGAGAGAGAGACACGTTTTCGAGCTTACTCAGAGCTCTTTTTCAGGCGTGGGAAACTAACTCACAGCCGAACCAAAACCTCAGATCCAAAGAGCACCAAACTCTGAGGGTCTCAGAATCCAAACATGGCTCTGAATCTGATTGTGCAGATAACACCTGTCTCTATAAAGGTGTGAATCAGAACTCTGGAGCCACGATGTGTTGCTGAGATGTGTTCCCCGTGCACTTTTTCCCCTGACCCAAACAGTATGGTGTCGCTGTTTTAAATACTAGGAAAATGGGCCCGTTTTGTAATTGAAATGTTTTATGTTTGGGGCTTTCCGTTTGAGACAGTATCTTAAGTGCTGTCCATAAGGGAAGGGAGAACGCTCTGAAGCCAGACTCTGCCATGACAACAACAGTGCAATCCCATTAGCTTTAATAGGGTTGCACAAGACGTAAGCCAAGGCAGAATTTGATGTATAGGCTGCACCTGCATTGCACACGGCTGCGGGCAGCATGTAGTGTACGTGTAGCTACAGGCTGCAGTGAAAAGCACACTGTGTCCACACTGCGGCGTGTAGTGACGCATGGCAGTGAAAGACTCTCTGGCAGAGGCTCAGGTTTTCCGTGCTGCCTTCTCCCTGCCAGAACCTTTCCCCGCTTCTGGAGTCTTTCCCTGCTGCAGGGAAAGGCTCCAGCAATGGGAGGCTAATAGAGCCTTTCCCTGCTGACGGAGTCTTTAGCTGCTGCAAGGAAAGACTCTGGAAGGGGGCAGGCACTTTCCCCACTGCCTCCCCCCTGCCAGAGCCTTTCCCCAGCAGCCAGGAGGCAGCGGGGCACTATGCTGCTAAAAATAGCAGTGTAGATGGGGAGGCACTGCTTGAGCGAGTGGAGAGACATGTAGTGTATGTTCTCACATACATACCCACAGCCTTCAGGCATGTCTGTACCTACTCCCCTAAGCCGTGGCTCATCATTTCATCCTTCTGTTTATACCTGTGCTAGGGAGACTACACACGCATGTACACGACATGCCGCCAAAAGAAGGGTACAGTGTACATGATGCATCCTTGGGGGCAGGGGTGGCATTTTCAGAAGTACTCAGCCTATTTTGCTCCTATTGAAGACAGTAGTAAAACTCCCATTAGCTTCAGAGGGAGCAGATTTAGGCCAGCACTGAATGTTTTTGAAAATCCTGCCTTAGACAATAAAGGGCCTTAACCCCACCTATAGCCAGGCCCTGACTGGTGCAGGTGGGGTGGGGATAAAGGATGATTGTAAGCTGTATTTCCAGTCCCCTTATATCCTGACCAGGCATTGTTTCATTCCTGGTGTAACTTAGAGCAGCCATAGGGCTGCTGTCAGTTGTATTCAGCTGGAACCTATGAGCAGCACAAAGCAACCTAATGAGGGGCCAAAGATCTGGCCCAAGGCATTCATGTAAGTCTCCAAGGGGCTGCCTCTTCTTGGGCAGAGCTCTTGTTTGCATTCACTTTATTTGGTGCTGATCAGTTCCAGCACACCATCATGGATTGCCCCTGTCAAACTTGGGGGCATCTGGTGCCTGGCTGTGAAGTATTCTGCAGTCTTGTCTTGGAGGGTGGGGGCACTTTTGGAGATTTACTTTGAACCTAACTATAAAACTACAGGGGAAAATGTTCCAAAGGAATCTTGTCTGGCCTCTCCCCAGTGGGTGGCCTTTCATTACTTTCCCGACTGGAGTGTTTATTGTCCCATAGTTTGTACATTGTGATAGTCTCAGGCTGCTAATCAGTTTTGCTCTTTTCCCAGTATCTTTGGGTGAACTTGGCCCTTGTTTTAAAAAATAAAAGTAATTTGAGCTCTGATTAGCTTCAGGCATAGTATGGGCTGGCATCAGGCAACCTTTTTCACTCATCCTTCTGTCGATGCATTTCATTCCTGGCCTACAGCTTCCCCCATCACACCATTACAGCCCTGGGGCCGTGACATTACTCAGCCTGACTGTGTTCTGACCTACAGTATCCCCAGCTACTCTAGTTCTGGGCTTCAAGTGCTGCCAGCGACCTCTATCCATCAGTCACATGTGCTGGCTTTGACATGGAGATGAATAATGACGAGGATGACCCCAGGAACTCTCTCTTGCTACCCCACCTGGATTTCAATTTGGGTCTCCCCGGCTGAAAAGCCTACCTATTAAATCACTGCTCCACCTAGACCCCATAGGTTGCAATTTGGGCACCTACACTCTTGTCCCCTCTTCCCGTGTGCTTTTGGCCAGTGCTACACACCTGGGTTGAAACTCTGCTCGGATTACATACTGTCTCAGCCATTACAGCTTTTCCTTGGAAGCTGGATAGCACAACTTCCAAATGTTTCTGCCTCTCACTCAGCCCTTGGGAAAGGAAACACACTACAGTCACGATGAGCTCACAATAGGTCATTCCAAAGCATGGCGGGAGCTCTATCCAAATTCCAGTATCAAATGACTCTCTCTCTCTCTCTCTCTCTCTTTGTAGCTCACAGCCAACGGCTGGTACATGTGAAGTCCCGCCTGAAGCAAGCCCCACGGTACCAAACCTTGGAGCGGGACTTGATCGAGTACCAAGAGAGGCAGCTGTTTGAGTACTTCGTCGTGGTATCACTGCACAAGAAACAGGCTGGGGCTGCATATGTGCCTGAAGTCACCCAGCAGTTTCCATTAAAGGTTCGGTGCATGGGCAAAGGCCTACTGGTGTAGCAGTTTCATCATTTAGGTTCTACATCCGCATCTGGAACCCATTGCCCTCCTGGCTAGTGTGCTGCAGGACACATGTTTAAACAGGAGACTCTCAGGGGAAGTTAGAGCTCTCATGTTAGCCCATAACGTAATGCAGGATAATCCCCTGCTGTGCCATTGTTTAATAGGACAGAGGATTTGGAGGTTGTCCTGCCCTCCATGAACTTCATGATGTTCTCGAATGCAGATGGAGCAGCTACTTTGATCCTTCACTGCCCTGGGAGAAAGTGTGTACAAAATTCTTCCGCCATTTATCTCAATAAAAGGGAAGCAACTTGGTACTGCTAGGGGAGACCAGCGACTGTGATTCTCAGGGTGCAGAAAACTGTCATTGCAGGGAGAGCAAAGCTATTACCAACAGGTCTCTCTTGGCATGAGAAACAGGACCAAATGAAAACATGTGGCAGTGCATTTTCCAACATGGTGTAACAAGAGTTTGCTGCAGGCTTTATTCTGCACACACGTCCCCGCACAGATAGCCTCCTCCCTTTACCGAGCTCTTAGCTATATCACAGGATAGAAGTGAGACCCAGCAGGGACAAACACATGAAAAAGTAGGATTTGGTGGGCAGGGCCGGCTCTAACTTTTTTGCCGCCCCAGGCAAAAAAGAATAGCGCCGCCCCGCCGTACCCTCCCCATGCAAGCGCCGCCGAAATCCCCACCCCCCCAGCACTATGCCATCTGAAGCCCCGCCCCCTCCGAGCGCCGCACCGCGCCAGCCCCAGCCCCCCGAAGCCCCCGCCCCCCAAGCACCGCG